GCCTAGCAGCCAGCAAGATGCAGAAGGAGATTACTCGCACAGGTGGCAAGGCTGTCAAGTTCATCAATGCGGAATGGTAAGTCGCCAGCAAAGTAAGCCTTTGGGCTTGCGCATCTCCCGTCCGTCACAGCTTGTCCGGCTGTTTCACACGCGATTGCGCATGTGATTGGGTTTATGCACAACATATACATGCCCTCTGTCAAGACAATGTTTAGGATATTGACTGACTGACACGTTGAACAGGGTTCTAGACAGCATCAAAGCCGGCCGCCGCCTCCCAGAGTCTCGCTATTCGCCGCTGAAGCTAGCGCACCAGTCTCAAAGTAGCGTACTGGGTATGATGCGCATTGGTGCTACGAGTTCGAAGCAGCAGCAAGAGCAGCAGCAGGGATGAGAACCCAACCTCGCTTTCCCTTGTCATCAGCAACCACGCAACTCTCGCCGGATCGACGACCTATTACCCCGTTGAGCAACTCGCCTGACTTGTGTAATAACCCTGGACGCAATACACACAACGATGAGTAAACCCGCGAACATGAATAGATACCCAAGATACCCACATCCCAAAGCAGTAAAAAGCCTGTCCAAGGACCCTTGAAACATGCCTACCGCACAGCAAACCTTCCCTTTTCCAGCGTCCCAAAAACACGCATCATTTCACATGATAAGTGCTAATGTACATGCCACGCGAGTATATTCACCGGCCGGTGTAGATCCACACATTTGCAGCATGCAGCAACTGAAACGTTGTCTGTGGGGAAGTTCGTCCGGGACCCGCGTTCGCGCATTGTGTCGATCAATCAACCAACATGTTCTTGCCTTTCGACCAAACCACCAACGACGCTGTCGTGCAAGACCCTGGACCCTTGGAAACTCTAAGTGGCGCGATAACGTGGCGCGATTTTTCGGGGCTAGTCGGTTCGTTAGGGTTGCGTTCGGCTTGCGCTATACCTGCCGTGGGTTCTCCGTGGGAGAGGCATCGCTGATGTGCTGGGTTGGTTACGTTTGATGCATTCTTTATCTGATTGTGAGGGAGGAGTAGATGGCGGGATAGAAATTGGCTCATTCTGTGCTAGCGCAATGTAGTTCATGAACATCTTTCATACCTACCTACCCGTGGACATTGCACACCAAATGAACAAAGATCAAACCAAAAACCTGTTCTCCCAAAAACTCTCCGCGGCTCACGTTGCAACCGAACAACATCAGGCAGGCCAGCCGACCGACCAGTCTACTCCCTTAACAAAACGCAACTATGAACTACTCTAACGCGGATGCATCCGTCAATAGCGCAGAAGCAGGCATCCGTGGATGTGTCAACGCTGGCGCGGCCGCTGCAAACAGCACTGGCGTGAACTCTTTTCTGCTCTATCCATCCGTTTATCCATCCGTCAGTCAGTCAGTCAGATGTCATGTCACATCCACGCCAACCCCAACGCCAGCGTCAGAACGTAACCATCCCCCACCTAAACATTCTAGCCCCCACGCCTCGTTTCGCCTTTCAATGTTTTGATGGTACCTTGAGAAAATAACCTGGTACCGAAGTTTCCCCGCTTATTTCGAACCAAACCAACGTTGCTTGGAAGGTTGTAAGGGAGGGATTAAGGTTGAGTGGTTCATTTGCCCGGTTCAACGACTGTTAGCTGAGTCTAGGTTGGATGTGGTAGTGCGTGCGCATGCGTGGCTCCTACAGCGGCGGTGGTGGGATAAGCCGGATGAACAAGGACAGGTAAGTGCTGGATCGCTGGACCCTGGATGGATGCGGCCATGTCATGGCAGGTGGCAGGTAAGTTCCGCGTTGTCGTTCGCCCGTCCCTTTATCGTTTCAGGAAGCGTGTTTCGTGACGGGCGTGACTCGTTACGAGGATGCGTGGATGGATGGATGGATGGTTCCGTGGGAGGGGGGGTATTGTTACGGGTTTATGCTGTGTTGACTTTGCTCGGATGAAAAGGGGTGGTATTTGCTATCTCAATCTTTGGCACAAAGAGCATCGAATGTAATGTGATTTTCTGATGAGTGATGAGATTGCTAGTCGCTCTTGCCCGGGCAGTTGCGCCGCTAGGTTAGCGTGTTGTGATAGTTTGGTAGGAGACGTTGTAGATATAGAGTTTGGTTCGCCGGGTTACTTGCATTCCGTCTTGCGATGACGATGGTGATGGTTGTAGGTTTGGTGTGATGTGTAGTAGTAGTAAGAATAGGATGGCCGGTATTGGGGAGTGATGTCAGAGGTAAAGTTGCTGAAAGTCGGCGGAATCTATGGTTCTGGATATCGTGATGAGAAGTTTTGTGATTGGATCTGTTGACAACGTGTTGCGCATGCTTGCGGTCAGTTTTGGAAAGATTGAAGTGGTGTAATCGATTTAGGGATTTCGCAGATGTGGACACAGCACTCTTTAGATCGTTGATACCTCTCCGTCTCGATAGAATATTCGTCGATCAGTTGAATTGGGCTCATTGAATGTTCCTTTGGAGAATCGAAGTAAACTATAGGCTTGCAGATGTTAAAACAGTATAAGACGAGGCGAGAATAGATTCCCAACACCATGCTGAGCTGCATACCTAGCCATGAACCTGGATACGCTGTACGAAGTAGGTATCAGGCCAAAAGAAAGGAAAGCACTCAGTCAGGCGGATTGGGAATTGTGTATGTGACAATATTGTTAAATTCCTTTGCTTTCATATAGAACGAAGCTACATGTCGAGACACCATGACGTAGACATGGTACAACGAACCATATGCGTATGGTATGCCTTGAAAACGCCGTAAGCCCACCGGTATCGCTATCCCATAAACGCCCTTTTCGCGCGAACCCCGATGCTCCCTCCCCATCTCACATCATCTCTCTAACCAGCAGTCCTCGGCTTAGCCTTGGCCTGCTTCTTCGCCTTCGCATCAGCCTTTTGCTTCTTCTTCTTTTCCTCGAGCTTCTCCTCTGCCTTGCGCTTGAGACTAGCCTTCTCCTCAGCAGTCTTCTCAATCGGCTTGAAGAAGCCCTCTAGCCTGCTCTGCTGCGCAGTCTTCATGTTCTTCTGTAGCTTGGCTGCTCCGTTGCGCACCCTGTCCTCGTTGAAGTGCTTCTCTTCGACCAGGAACTTGACGAGGCCTTCTACATCTGGGGCTTCCCACTTGAAGTCGCATTCTGGGTCGTCGGCGGGGCGCACGTCGGGCTCGAGGAAGAGGAGGCGCGCATCGGCGAACGGCCAGTCGTCGGGGATGGTGAGCTTCTTGGAGGATTGGGACTTGATGTGTTCGACGACGCCTTCGAGGTCCGTGTGCTCGCGGATGAGCTTGAGGGCGGTGCTTGGACCAATGCCTTTGATGGGGTCGAGGTAATCGCAGCCGAGGAGGATACAGAGGTCGATGAACTGACAGTGGTTAGTATATGACACGTTTGAGGTAGTGGTCTATTCGTACCTGCTTCCGCTCCATATTCAGGCCTTCAAGCACCTTGTCCAGGTGGATTTCCAGAATTGGCTCTTTGCGCTGCTCGCTGAAGGTCAAGTGTCGCAGCAGGATGGGTGAATCGAAAGTAAGCGTGTCCATGTCCTCTGAAGCAGCGGCGTACACCTTGCCTCCTCTCGCCAACGTAGCACACTGAGCTTCAGCCTCGGTCGGTGCGACGATGTAGGGAATGCCCATGAGCTTGAGCAAGCGCTGGCACTCCTCGTTGTGCTCCCTCGTGACTCTGACCGTCCGCCGCGAGAACTTCTCAACGTCCTCTGCTGTACCCGTCTCCTTCGCCTCCTCAGCCGCCGCATGTGCCTCTGTCTTGCGCTGGAAACGTTTTGCGAGCTCGCCGGACTTGAGCTTGGGTGGAGCGCCATCGAAGACATACAGGGGCTTGATGCCGTTGTCTACCATGCGCATGGTGCGGTAGAAGAGACCCATGAGATGTGAAGTGGTTTCGCCCGTCTCGCTCATGAGCTGCTGGCCATCGGAGCGGACTGCGATGAGGAAACTGTAGATGCTCATAGATCTACACAGTATTAGATTGGAGAGTCATAGAGGGGTTAGAATATGCATACGCATCCTGAGTATGTTAGTGATTGACCGTGTAGGTGAGACGATAGCAGACGTACTATGGCGACTTTGCGTCCAAACTGGTTCTTGATCTCGCCCTTCTTGACTGCCTCTGGCGCATGCTCCTCAATGAGCTGGTACAAGTGTTTGATACCCATGGCGACTGGATTCCTCTTGCAGTTGTATTAATCAGAGAGGTTTGAGGTGCTGTTGGCCCAGAGCGTTGTGTGTAGAAGCGTAGGCGACTGCGTGGTGGCTGGAGAAAGTGACGCCAACGATCGTCACGACGCGTTCGCGTCTCACCGCGCGCAATCACGGTCTACATTTCTTGGCATTGCTACCCCACATTTGCCTGTCATCGCTTAGTGAGGCTCTGCATGCATTCCAGGCGGTGCATCTCGGATCTGCTATCTGCAACTCGTGATCCCGCCAAATCCTTCAATTGCCGCGTGGATAGAGTGATGATGCTAGCTTTCTTGCCACCGCGGAGTGCTTCCGAACCGCCTGCCGCGGTTCTTTCAACGGTGGGACTTCCGAGGCCAACTTCATCCAATTACGCAGATTCTCGTGAGAACCCGGGTATAACTGTCACTTTTGTGTAGCTGAGACACTTTCCACATTCCTGATAACGACTCCAAAATGCTGCGACCAACCTACAGACATGCCACCAGGCAATTGCGCACCCCACTCCGGTCTGCGGCCCTCGGCAAGCGGTACCTACATGCTCCCGTCAAGTTTGACTGGCAAGATCCATTGAACACAAGCAACTTGTTCACAGAGGAAGAGCAGGCCATCTCGGAGACAGCAGAGTCGTATTGCCAAGAGCGCATGCTCCCGAGAGTGCTAGGTACATATACCGTTGTGGGGAGTCTAGAGCTAGCTGACGTGTTACAGATGCATACCGCAATGAGGACTTTGATAGGAAGATCATCACGGAAATGGGCGAATTAGGACTACTTGGTGCAAGCATTCAGGGCTATGAGTGTGCCGGAGTCAGCAGTGTCGCCGCAGGTCTGATCACCAGAGCTGTGGAGAGAGTCGATTCTGGATATCGTTCCGGCTACTCGGTCCAAAGCTCACTGGCCATGGGCGGTATCGAGGAGTTTGGATCTGAAGAACTGAAGGAGCGCCTCCTACCCAAGATGGCCAAGGGCCAACTGCTGGGCTGCTTTGGTCTGACTGAGCCAAACCACGGATCCGATCCAGGCTCTCTGGAGACGACTGCTAAGCCGCATCCGACCAAGAAGGGCTACTACTCACTGTCTGGATCAAAGACGTGGATCACAAACTCGCCCATTGCCGATGTTCTCCTTGTCTGGGCGAAGCTGCACGAGACTGGCAAGATCCGTGGCTTTGTCATTGAGCGCGACCAATGTCCACCGGGTACTCTCGAGACCCCGCCAATCAAGCACAAGAACGGTCTGCGGGCGTCCATTACCGGCATGATCCAGCTTGATGACTGTCCCGTGTCCGAAGCAAACATGTTTCCAGAGGTTGAGGGTTTGAAGGGACCCTTCAGCTGTCTCAACTCGGCCAGATATGGCATCGCCTGGGGTACTATCGGTGCTCTCGAGGACTGCATCGCAAGGACCCGAGAGTACGCCCTCGAGAGAAAACAATTCAAGAACAACCCGATTGCCAAGTACCAGCTTGTGCAGAAGAAGCTAGCTGACGCGACGACGGATGCTGCATACGGTATCCTGGCCGCCCACCAAGTCGGAAGGCTCAAGGACGAGGGCAAAGCTGCACCTGAGATGATCTCTATGATCAAGAGACAGAACTGTGACCGGGCTTTGATCAACGCGCGAACGTAAGTAGCACCAAGCGCTTGTTCGACATGTACTGACTGTGAGCAGACTGCAAGAAGTGTTTGGCGGAAACGCAGTATCCGACGAGTACGGGATCGGAAGACATGTCGCCAACTTGTTTGTGACGCAGACATACGAGGGCCAAAGCGACATCCACTGTGAGTACCATCGAAACGTGTCTCGACTCTTACTAACCTGCATCAGCTTTGATCCTCGGTCGTGCAATCACAGGTCTACAAGCATTCTGCTAGTGGTGAAATATACTCGGGTTGTTGCTGTACTACCAACAAGAATACGTAGATGCGCACCCAATCACAGGCAACATGTCAGCTGTAGGCGCCTAGCGGTGGTACGCATGCAGGCAATGTTTATTTAGAAGTAAATGCATATCAAACCCGGCGACTCTTGCCTCGAACGCGGCAAGTATCACATCTGATTGCTCGTATCCACAGTGCCGTTCGCCACCCGAGTAAAGGCCTCGCTACCGCCCAATGCGTGGTGACTAAGTGAGGTCAGAAGCAGCGTGAATGTCCATGTCAGCCTTGAGGCATCTTCTCCAGGCTTCGATAGGTTGCCACCCAGCGCGGTTGTTGGGGTAGAAACGCTCGGTGGAAATGTGGGCAGCAACAGTTGGGCGGTCAGCTTGTCTCGCCTCGTGCGGTTGGCTCCTCACACATGATAAATACAAACGCCCCTGCTGCAGCCCCATCGTGCAGAACATCGTGCTCGTACAGCGTGACCGTCTTTGTCCTCACATAGAGTCAGAGGTGAGTGAGTTAAAGAGTGGCGGATGAGGTTCCCGCGCTGACACGCCGCACTTGCTTTCTTTGGATCCCCGCCGCTAACTAACCGCCTTGCCTGCGCAGACATCCCACTTCAACTCTTCAACACCAACTCGCTCGACCCGACACCCGCAATACCCGTCACCACCACTCCACACACCACACACACACACCGCAGCCATGGCTCTCAAGCGCATCAACAAGGAGTTGACCGATCTCGGCCGGTACGTGACCTATCTCCCGGCCCTCGTGGCTGGCGGCGAGGCTCGCTGTTTTGCTTGCACGGCCACGACCGCATGCGGGGCCCTCAAGCAAAGCCGCGACACCGTAGCCCTGCGAGAACATGACGAGAAGGACATTTTACTGACATGATACCCCTAGTGACCCTCCCTCTTCCTGTTCAGCTGGCCCCATCGGAGATGATCTGGTACGTCACTCTTCTGCAAGACAGCCACGCGGCTGGGCGAACGAAGAACCACACTGGACATGACACTAACAACACGCAGTTCCACTGGCAAGCAACCATCATGGGTCCCGGCGACTCACCATATTCCGGCGGTGTCTTCTTCCTAGCAATCCACTTCCCAACCGACTACCCCTTCAAGCCCCCGAAGGTCAACTTCACCACCCGCATCTACCACCCCAACATCAACTCCAACGGCAGCATCTGCTTGGACATTCTGCGAGACCAATGGAGCCCTGCTCTTACTATCTCAAAGGGTGCGTTACCCGAGTCCCCTATGTCGAGTAGAATACATACTGACAAAAACACAGTGCTGCTGAGTATCTGCTCGATGCTGACAGACCCAAACCCCGACGACCCGCTCGTCCCCGAGATCGCACACGTCTACAAGACCGACCGGTCCCGCTACGAATCGACGGCGCGCGAGTGGACCCGAAAGTACGCCATCTAGGCTCTCGAAGCGCAACAAAGGAGCGTCAAGACTGGGTGCGGCGGAGAGCGTGTCTTTTGTCGTTAGCATCTGCGAAAGGGAGGCTAGGATGATGGTTCGGGGCAGACTTTCATGGGTAGTGACTGATGGGGGTTTTTACACTTGTACTACGGCATGCATGCTGGACTGGGGTTCATAGCATCTGGCTATTATCACTCTTACCACAACAGGCTCGATTTCTTCACTGATGTTCGACTTGAGTTGCGTGCTTGTTTGTGATTACTGTGAAGATTGCATGTGATGATATTTTACAACATTGGTAAGCGACTAGGCGTTCTTCGCCTCGTCGCCTTGTCCGTCTACACCATCTTTACTTGTCTGCGGATCCTCTACTGCAGGCATACCCATACCCAAGATCGACGACATGGTATCACTATGGTCTAGTATCGACGTATTCTGCGCTTCATCCTTCAACCGCCGAGTCTTCTCCTCGGCCAGCCTCTTCCACTCCCTATCCCGCTCTTCCTTGGCTACTCGCAGCCTAGCCTCTTCCTCTTCCATCATCTTCAGCGTATTCTCCTCCACATCCTCTTCCACAGAATCCTTCAGCACCTCTTCGTCTACTGCGTCTACTACACTTTGCCATCCACCCTCTCTAACCTCCTTTGCCAATTGAGCAAGGTCCTTTTGTTCCCTCTCCACCCACTCGCGACCGTAGTTTTGCAGTTTCTTGCGACGTTCGAGTTGCAGCATGTAGGATGTGCCTACGAGAGGACAGAGTATGGAGGCTCGCTTGTTGAATTTCACGTCGAGGAGGAGGTTCTTGTGGAGGTCGCGGAGGGTGGCTTGGACGTGCTTGATGGCTATGCCTTTGCGGCCGAGGTCGTTGGTTTCGTCGGCGGGGTCGCGGAGGGAGAGCATGTACGAGGGGAGGGGTTTGGCTTCTCCGCTCTGTGTGGTGGTTAGCATGATGGGAGATGTAGAGAGGAAGATGGGTGGGTTCATACCTGTAGCTGAGCCCTCTGCGTATCCGTAAGGACAGGGTGCTTCGTCTTGTCGAAGAGGTAAGCTGGTTCGATAGACACACCGTGCTTGGTCGTGTCGAAGTTGCCCCAGAAGTCGAGGAAGTGGAGAAGGGCACGCGCAGAGTCTTTCGGTGGCTTTGGTGCATGCTTTATGCTGGCGACGACCATCATGAAGAGCGAGTAGGAGCCAAAACCGCCGCGGAATACGTCTGACAAGCCGCGTGTATCGAACATGGTCTTGACTACCCAGTACAGCTCTCGCAGGTAAGGTATCTTTTCCATGTACTCCTGCATCGTCACCCTCGAGATGGATGTATCGTTCGAGAGCACAACCTGCACATCCAAGCCCGATTTGCGGTCCTGCGCGGCGACGAGAGGATAGCGCGCGTGACGAATCGCGGCCAGTAGGTATGCTCCGTTCTTATTGAATACCGTCCAATATAACTTACTCAGAAGACGTGTTCCCTTCTTACGCTCTTTCGTATCTGGCGGGAATTTTGGCACCTGCGCGGGGTCTGACGGTTGCGACTTTAATACCAGCCTGAAGTCTATGTCGGACAGAGGCATGGCTATGCCAGTCCGTTCAGAGCCAAACACTTCGATGTTGTATTTTGGAAGGAACTGTTTAACCTGTCTCTGCACCTGTTCGATGAGGTGCTTCCGCGCGGCCGTTTCGTATCGATCGGGTTGTGTGTATTTGTAGAATCTCTCGATTTCTGAATGCAGACTGCATCTCGACTTAGCATGGCATTACGAGTGAGGGTCGATTGGGGATGTACCGATCCATGCCTGTCATTGTTGGCTCTCCCTCCATGTTCACACACCATGGAAGCGCGCTTTCTCTGACCTTCCCGACCACGATGGGCCGCACAACTACGCCCTCGTAGTCTTGTGATTTTGCGAACGCGTCTCTGGCAGTCACCAGCTGATCTTGGTACTCGACGTTCGAGGGAGCAGGCATTGTCCGCTTCAGGTGTTTGTTTTTAGCGATCGAAACCTCGACCTTGCTGGACAGCCAGCGCCCTTTGACCGTGGTCATTCTCCTCACGGGCAATTGCTTTGCCTCTGCATTCGGCGGTTCTGCCGCATTTTCGGTGACTACTTCGCTAGCTTGGGCATCGCGAGCCTGAGTGTTATCACCCTTGCTACTTGAATTCGCGCCATCTTGTGCAGCTTCCGTCGCAGTAGAAAGCTGGCGCCGGTCGCGGGGTGTTGACGGACTGGCTTGCACAAAGTGCTGCCATAGCGCAATGGACGGATTGAAGCGATTATGGGCGCGACATATCAGCCGGGTGCGCGAGAGTTGCATTAGGCCCGGGGAGATAACGACGACTCGCAATGCGGCAAGGTGGTGGTTGTGCTCACTCTACACGAATCTTCTGCATGCATCTTCGCGTGCACCATGCCAAGCATCTAGTCCGCTTTGGGCCGTCGACTCGACGGCGGAGGATGCCAGGCACTCCCGCGGGCATGCTGCATTACCAGTCGCCCTCGTATGCACCCGGCCGTTGGACACGTTTATTGCTAGCCCTGCGTCTGCCATGTCCCATGCTATACGGAGGACATCTGTGAAAGCGGCCAGACTGCCCCCAATACCCCACAGGCACTGCAGAGGCCCCAAGGCGTCTCCGTCGGTCCACTTGCAGCACTTGCGCCGGCCCACACCCTCGTCCGATATGAAAGCTGCCTGACATCATATTGACACGCCCAACAAAACTTCGCAGAGCGGTCAGCGAGCGGAGCGCGTGCAGGCGCGAGGAGTCGGTAATGGTGCGATGCCTTGCTTGCAGCAGAGACAGTAAGGCCCGAGCTGGTCGGTTCCAACGTCACAGCTATGTTAGTGGGGCGTTGAACCATCCCACCACGGCCAGCTTTTCTTCCCTCATTACACTCGTCGACCTTCTGTGAGCTTCTCGACACACGTGGTGTCTTCTACCTGATTTCCACTCACACCACCCTTCGTTTGACACTCCTAAATTCCCCTCGTTCCGTGACAGCCCCAGCCCAGACCCATTGCGGAGCTCTTTCCTGTGAGACTCGTCCAAGACAGCGACTCAAGCACCAGGTAATTCACATTTCATAATTATTTTTAGTCGCGCCTCACCACTGCATGCACGTAAACATTGCACTGCCTGTCCATTGCTCGGCATATTTCTCACCTATTATCCTCCCACCTCTCATCCTTCCGCCTACAAGTACCTGACAGTTCCATGCAGAGCACCGCCTACGCTTACATCCACCATGGCCCCTCCCACAGATGAGAAGCCCCAGAGGCCTCCGCTCGACTCCCAAGACAGCACACATCCCGCGCTAAACCCTGCAATTACCAACGTGCCTGTCACACCCGGCGTACATCTCTCCGGCAAAACTGCCTACTTCGACGAGTCCACCACCGAGAAGACGAGCAACCTCCCCTTCAATCCCGAGACTGCCACACCAGGCCCCCAATGGAGCGCCAACTCATACTTCTCTGGCCAGCAAAAGGAGGGCCAGGCTAGCACTCAGACTGAACAGGCAGCCGGCGCACAAACTGATGGAGACGTCAAGAGCAAAACGAGCGAGGTACCCGACCCGGATGCCAAGCACGATCTTGCAGACGTAGATCCTCGCGCCGCACACCCTGGTTTAAACCTCAGCGGTCGCGTTATCAGTGCGACCTTTGCCATACCCTATTCAATTGGTTACTCACAGGGCAACGACTGGGAACTGAACCCGCGACGCGGAACCTCGGCCCTTTTCGACTCCTTCTCTTACCTGGCTTCTAGCTCTTCTCCGTGGAACCACGTGCTCGTGGGCTGGACTGGCGAGATCGCGCACGCAAAGACAGCATCCGTCACAGCTACGCAAGCGCCCATGAACAAGGCTGCCGCGCCGATTCCCGTCGATCCAAAGAAACCGACACAAGTACCTCAAGCTCCAAACAGCTTCAGGATAGGCCCAGACGATCGAGCACGATTGGATAAACAGCTCGAACGCGATCACGGAGGCAGGATTGTGCCAGTGTGGCTTGTCGACGAGGTAGATGATGGCAAAGATGAATACATCCTGAAGAACCAGAGCCATTGGAGGACATATGCCGAGCACGAGCTCTACACCCTGTTCCACTACAAGCAGAATGAGCCAGCTGATGGGCGCGCTGCCCGGAAATCGTGGGCCGATTACTACCGCATGAACAAGCTTTTCGCAGACAGGATCCTCGAGGTCTATAAGCCAGGCGACATCGTCATGGTACACGATTTCTACCTGATGCTCTTGCCAAGTCTCCTTCGCCAACGTCTACCCAACATCTACATTGGCTTCTACCTGCACATCCCTTTCCCAAGTAGCGAGTTCTACCGCTGCCTGAGCAGACGGAAAGAGATCCTGGAGGGCGTGTTGGGTGCCAACATGATCGGGTTCCAGTCATACAGCTACTCGCGGCACTTTTCGTCTTGCTGTACTAGGATACTGGGTTTTGATTCGTCTTCCACTGGAGTCGATGCATACGGCGCGCATGTAGCAGTCGACGTGTTCCCCATCGGAATTAACGCAGTCTCCACACAGCGACAGGCTTTTGGCGACCCGGAAATTGAACATAAACTCAAAGACATCCGCGAGATGTATGCTGGCAAGAAGCTCATTGTTGGTCGTGACAGGCTAGATGCGGTTCGCGGAGTGGTTCAGAAGCTTCAGGCGTTCCAGCTCTTCCTTCAGAAGTATCCTGAGTGGGTAGGCAAAGTAGTCCTCATCCAGGTCACAAGTCCTAGCGGAGTCCATACCGATAGAAGTGATGGCGCACAGGAAAAGGTGGTCAACAAGATCTCGGACCTTGCGGCCAAAATCAACGGCACCTACGGAACCCTCGATTTCACCCCGGTCCGTCATTTCCCACAGTACCTTTCCCGGGAGGAATACTTTGCTCTGCTTCGACTTGCAGACATCGGCCTCATCACTAGCGTGCGAGATGGTATGAACACGACAAGTATGGAATACATCATTTGCCAAAAGGATAACCATGGACCGCTCATTCTTTCGGAGTTCTCTGGTACAGCGAGTTCCTTACACAGCGCAAGCCACATCAATCCCTGGGACATGGGCGGAGTTGCCGATGCGATCAATGACGCTCTGAACCAGAGTGCCGAAGTTCGTGCCGAGACTCACGCCCAACTCTACAATCATGTTGTGCAAAACAATGTCCAGGCTTGGTCGAACAACTACCTGAAGCGATTGATGACGAATTTGTCAGCTTTCGATCAAGCGTTCGCTACGCCAGCACTTGACCGGGCTAAACTACTCTTCCAGTACCGTGAAGCCAAGAAGCGACTCTTCATGTTCGACTACGATGGTACTCTGACACCCATTGTCAAAGATCCACAAGCAGCTATTCCATCCGATCGTGTCATCCGGACCCTCAAGACCCTAGCAGCGGACCCTGCAAATGCCGTCTGGATCATCAGCGGCAGAGATCAGGCTTTCCTGGACGAATGGATGGGCCACATTCCCGAGCTGGGTCTGAGTGCTGAGCATGGCAGCTTTATGAGGCATCCACGCAGTCAGGAATGGCACAATCTCACCGAGACGACCGACATGAGCTGGCAGCAGGAGGTCATTGACGTATTCCAGCACTACACTGAGAGGACTCAAGGTGAGCTATTATACTGTCATCAAACTACCTATTACTAACAGATGATCAGGCTCATTCATCGAACGCAAGAAGATTGCCCTGACATGGCACTACCGGAGAGCGGATCCCGAATACGGTGCATTCCAGGCGCGGGAGTGCCAGAAGCATCTCGAGAGGACTGTCGCAAAGAAGCACGACGTCGAGGTCATGACGGGTAAAGCCAATCTTGAAGTTCGCCCGAGGTTCGTGAACAAGGGCGAGATCGCGAAGACGCTTGTAGAGAACTACGGCGAAGGTAGCGGCAATGCGCCTGAGTTTGTTCTTTGCATGGGCGACGACTTCACGGATGAAGGTATGTGTTGCACTTGTGGCTGCGCTTTCCACCCGCTAACATCATCAGACATGTTCCGATCGCTGCGCCAGTCCAAACTGCCCACTGATCACGTCTTCTCGGTCACGGTTGGTGCCAGCTCGAAGCAGACGCTGGCCAGCTGGCATCTGCTCGAGCCTTCGGATGTCATCTCTGTCATTTCGTTGTTGAACGGATCCGCAGACGCAGGCAATGTTGGCGCGATTGCTGTGGTCGATGGCACGGTCCCGGAGTCTCGAGTAATCGCATGAGGTCATGGTCGGACAATTTCAACTGTAATGGAGCACGGAGCATGGTGAGGCTATAGATCTACGGTATGCGGCATGGCGATCCCGGAATTTTTTGGGCATCAAGTTTTGGAGAAGCAATCAGATCCTATGTCATGGTGGTTCTCGTTGTCCTACGAAAAGAAACGCTTCTGTTCTGTGATCGGCCATGCCGATTGCTACCCGGCGGATGAATTGTGCTGCATAACGATTAGCAATGCGCCCCTGGGACGAGCGTCGGTTGCCAAGGCGGTGGCGCCGGCACGTTCTGGGGTCTCGCCCAAGACCCCTGATTACCACGTGAGACCCTGACTCGAGGACCGGGAACTTTGGATGCGAACTCTGGGAAATCCAGGGTGTTGAAGCCTTCGGAGAGATTTCCGCGACGGCAATGCTTACAGATTGCCCAGCTGTCAAGCAAGTAAGCCGCTACACCCCGCAATAAAGAATATCGATGCAAGCAAGCCGCGCAATGGCGAAAGCGGTCCACGACTCACGATTCCGCGACACGGACACGATGGCTTTTCTAGGCCTGGTATGTTTTGGCTTTCGGCTCTACTAACCCCAAATCATGCAACTTGGGATTCGAGAACTGCCCGCGCATGAAACCTGGAACGCCTAGCAACTGTCCCGCCCCAACAACCTATCCGAGGGAAGGCCCTCCTTCCTCTTGGAACTCGCGTACCGTAGTCGTTGATCCCGTCTTTTACCAGCCATCCGTTCCTTTTTCATCACATCGTTCCCCTCCCGCGCCGCATCTCTACACTCGTTTACCCGCTATCTACCCTCGCATAATCTGAGCACCAATCTTACAGACGTGAAGCGCATTATTATAACATAATTCGAGTACCTGGTCCGACCTCAATCCGATACGGCATCTGCAACAGCGCAGCAGGGAACTAGCCGGCGAACACATTGCGACATCACAACCGTGCCGTATCTACGATCCGCCTCTCCTTGGTATTCCTTCTTCGACACAGACACAAACACAATATCTCTCGGCGCGCGGCACAACAAACTTCACACAATACACAATGGGTCTCATTGAGAAGATGCAAGCTCGTATGTCTTACCTCGCTTCGTCCCATCTTACCTTAGCCCCGAACCTTCACATCTGCGACAGTAGACTAACAAGAACCCAATCCAGGCCTCGAGCTCTACCGCCTCGAACAGCGTTACACACGTCGCGAGAAGCGCACGACCTTTATCAGCGAAGCGCAATACGTTGACGGCGAGTACGTCTATGCCTCGGCTCCTTCCTCGGCAAACTCGTCCACCACCTCAAGTAGCAAGCGCTTCAGCAAGATGCCTTCCACTATACGGATAAAGGAACTGAGCCGTATGGGAACTGGACGGTCATAGACGCCCCTCGGACGAAGCTGCTCCTGTACCTACGGGTCGACGACGGTGGATGGACACCTATCTGGTCGGACCAACAGAGAGAAGACAGCGTCGTGGCCTACCGAGGGACAACGTGCCATGCATGACACCTTACACGGCATCGCAGCACACGACGTGTCCAAAGCTTTGAGAACGTCGCACAAGAAAACACACACCACGCGCAAGCAGAAAGAAAGAGGATACAAGACACACCTCGCAAACACTGCGCAAGCGCAAAACATAATCATTAACGCAACGACATTTACGCCAGAACAACCATCGACGACAGGGGAATAACGGACTAAAAGTTTCTTCCATCATGTCAGGTTCTCTTCATTCTTTACACCCACATTTTCCTTTTCTATCTTGCCATCTATCGAGATTTATAAGTCATGTTTGCGACACAGTTAGAATACCCCATTGGCTTCCAGAGTAGACCTGGATATGCATCAATACAAGTTTATATGCAATTGGTTGTGTTGGATGATGAGTTGGGTGATGTGTTGTGTGAAGGTGTCGCGGATGAATTGAGTGGTTGCCAAGGGCGTCCTGCAGATGCGTAGGGCGCGTGGACCAAACGGCGCATGCGAGGGGTTGGGGATGGGGGGTATCGTAGGCGTAAGGCGTGTGGGCGCAAGGCGTGTGCGGATAAGGTAGTATAGTGCAAATACGGGAGTGATATATTCACTTTTAGTCGACGCGGACACTACTTGTTAGGACAACAGCCTTCTGAAAGCAGGATCCATTAGGACATCAGCAAGTATAGCTAATTGATACCTATCACATTCTCCCCTTACATCTAGTCCACGTACTGGCAACCGGGAACATGTCCAACAATCCCATCGAAACCACACCACCAACAACTGTTGCTAATCCAAACGACCAAGACCTACCCTCACGAAACGACATCGGAGATAAACACATCTCACAGCTCCATGAGAACCCTTCCGTACTCCCCCCAACCCTCCCACCCATGGACAAAGGAACACACGCCTGGCTCTTCCTCGCCGCAGCCTTCGCCATCGAATTCCTAACCATCGGTCCGTCCCCTCTCAACATCCCTCAACCACTCCCCATTCTACTCTCTAACACACCTCTACCTAACACAAACTCACCACCCCACAGGCCAATCCTTCTCCTACGGCCGCTTCCAATCCCACTACACCACACACGCCCCCTTTGCCTCCACCTCCAACTCCAACTCCCAATCCTCCTCCTCCTCCTCCTCCTCCTTCGCCGCCGTAATCGGCGTCCTAAACCAATCTCTCATCCTCATCTTCCTCCCCCCCGTTCTGTATCTCGCGCGCCGGAAACCAGTCTACGCACGCTGGATGGCGATGACGGGTCTGCTCGGTTGTGTTGTGTCGAACGTGGCTAGTTCGTTTTGTACGAGCACAAGCCAGCTTGTGATTACGCAGGGTGTGCTGCAGGGTGTGAGTGGCAGTGTAGCGTTTTGTCCGCTGTTGGTCTTCGCAGAACAGTGGTTCGAAAAGAGGAGAGGGTTGGCGTTTGGGGTTATTGGTGCGGGTGGTGGGTGTGGGGGGTTGGTTCTGCCTCTTTTGATCAACGCGTTGCTGAAGCAGGTGGGATACCCGAGTACGATGCGTGTTTTGGCTGGTGTAATGTTTGGAGTGGGTATGCCGTTGGCGTGGTTCGTTAGACCGAGACTTCCAGTGACGAACGTCGGTACTGGGGAGAAGAGGTTTTGGAACTGGAAGCTCATCTGCTCGAGATCTTTCTTGTTGCATCAAGTTGCTAATTTCGTTCAGGGCGCGGGGTACTATCTCCCTGGTATTTACCTCCCGTCATTCACCCGCGAGGTGTTCGGTGCATCAGATTGGCAATCTACGGCCTCACTCATGTTACTCAATGTGTCTGCTATGGTCGGTCTTATCATCATGGGGTACATGACCGATCGATTCAATTCCCGGGTCTGCATTGCGGTCTCTGCTACGGGCGCTACTCTCTCTGTCTTTCTTTTCTGGGGCTTGGCCACACACATTGCCATTCTGTACACCTTCTGCGTCTTATTTGGCTTGTTTTCAGGCGGCTTTCCAGCAGCGTGGTCGGCTGTTATGAGGGAGATGGCGAAGAAGGGCGAGTCGAGGGGGATGGGACATGTGGATATCATCCTCATATTCTCGCTGTTTTGTCTTGCTAGGGGAGTTGGGAATATTGTTGCTGGGCCGATGAGTGAGGCGCTTGTTGGTGGAATGCCTTGGAAAGGCGAGGCAATTGGGGGCTATGGAAGTGGTTATGGTGGACTTGTTGTTTTCTGTGGGCTGAGTTCGCTGGTTAGCGGGATGAATGCGTTGTGGTACCATTTGTTGTAGAGGTCTCTGATTCCGGTAGAGCAACGAGTATGTCTTTCTGGACCAATCATGTGTATATGCACGCGATTCAAGATGAGTGCTCCAGATTCTGTACTGCTCGTATAAGATTACGCCCGTGTAACGTACGAGTATACGTCGCTCCACCACCTCAGATCCTGCAGCGTCGTAGCCACAGATCTCTTCGTAGCCCTGTCACACATTCAGCAACCTTCCCGCATAGCATTCTTCCCGTAATTCTAACCGACCGGCCAAGGATCCAAAGGGGTGCCATAATGCGAAGTTGCCGATGACAGCCTCGATCCCGCTAAGCTTGCATATGTACAGTGTCCTTGCAGTGCAGGGTCACGTAAGCAGGCGAACTACGCCCTCTGAATACCGATCAATCCATTCAAGAAAAGCCGAAAAAGCAAAAGATGGTGCATTTATTGCTATTGGTGGTGTGCGACTAATCGCGGATGGGCGGACCAAATATGACCTGCATTGCATGAAGCTGCAACGCTAGTAGCAGAGGCAAACCTGTGACCATTGACACCCACGTAGTGACCATGCGAACCGAGGAAGATGGGGGAAATTACTGAAAGTAGATGATTGTAATGTTGATGGAGTATATTGCGCTAAATAATAAGGACATTGGCGTAGTTTTGCTATCGAGTACGCGTGTGGCTGGCTGCTTGGGGGGTATCATCCGATCTATAGGTATCTTGCGCAAGTGAATGGGAGTGACCCTTGATCTCTCTTCCCTTCTAGGTGGTGACTCCGTTTGTTCGAAAGAAAATGATGAAAGAAAATGAAACCCAAATGTCGACCAACGCCGAAACAAAAGATGCCCGCCACCGTAAAACTCCTGGAAATGGAAACCCGTTTGTGAATGTTACCCTCAAGGGGTCTGAGGTCGTTAAAGTCGTGATGTTCGAGGCGGCCATGCGCTCTCGAATAGGGATAGGCGAGTGCGATGCGGAGCTGCGCACTAAACATTGTTGTCGTAGTCGCTGAGGATGTCCTCTGGATCCTCCGGTGGAAGCATGTCGATGGTGTCGCTTGTGCGCGGGCCGGTGTACTTCTTCCTTGCACCCGCATACCACCAAACGGTGCTAAACAGGCCAATGAAGGCTGCCACACAGATAGCGTAGTTCATGTTGTCGGCCCTGACTGGCTTGACAGTCGGGAAGAACAACACAACACTGATGAAGATGACCCATGTCACTGCAATTGCATTGACCGGCTTGCTCCATCTGCCCATCGTGTATGGTCCAGGGTGGAAAGTGACAGTGTTCTCGTACCATCGGTGTGCAATGATGACTGCGATGTAACTAATGTCCAAGGCCGGGGCGGTGATGTTGAAGATAGCCGTAATGGTAAGAGTGCTTCCAATGCCGATTAGGTCGAGGCAGCTGCAGAACAGCACAACAAGCCACACCGCATTGACCGGAGTGTGCGTGTAGGAATTGATCTTGCTCCAGAAACTATGCAAAGTCAGCACCCCTCAATACTAGCGCCGACTGGAAGCGGAAACTCACCCCGAGAATGGAAAGGCTGCGTCGCGGGAAAAGGCCCAAGCCATTCTAGCATTTGCCAACATGGCAGAGCAGCCGGTGAAGAACTGGACCAACATGACGAAGAACCACATGATGGTTCCACCTGTTTTGCCACCGGCGTTGAAGAAGATCTGGGCCACGGGCAGACCGGTCGGCGTTGCCATGATCGCATCGTAGTCTGACATGCAGAAGCAGAAGGTGACGGTTAGCATCCAACCGACGACGCCGGAGACGAGGATCGCAGCGCGGATCGCTACAGGGCCGCGAATAGCGGCATCGTGGGTCTCTTCCGACATGCTGTGTAACGCTGATTAGATTGGCTCATGTGCGGAGTCGTAGGGCTGACTTACTGTGTCGTGCCGTCGTAGTCAGTCATCGTCCATGCAACGGAAAGGAAGCTGGGACTAGTCAGTGGTCTGGCGCTATGCGAGTGCTGGTTTGGACCTACCCAAGGAGGAATGAAAAACCCTTGCTTCCCCAGCCTGAGCCGTCCATGACTGTTGTGAACACCCATTGTGGGCTTTGCTTGTTCGGTGTGAGAATGAGAAGAGCGATGCAGATGCAGATTGATGCGATGACTGTTTGCTGTCAGACGGCGCTCAACACGAATCCTTCGTCGACGTACTGTTGATAGGGGCGAACCACAAGATGATGCGATGAAGCCAATTCGTGGGGAATGAGCAGATTGTGCCAAACATGCACAACACGAAAATAGCGAGAAGGACGGTCTGATATGCTTGCCTGCATTGATCGGTAAGCTGCTGCAGGTGATCCAAGTGGGGTGATTCTTACGGCGTAAAAGCAGACTCTCCATTGTCTAGCGTGTGCATGACAACCGTCGCCAATATCATCTGGGAGATTGTATACGCCAGACTTGCAACGCCGGCGGCTTGTCCGAGGAAGTTGCACCAACCGATGATCCACGCCCAGGCTGCAACGTGTTCAGGTGGTACAACGTGTTTTGTGACATAGTACATGCCTCCCGCTGTCGGATATGCTGAGACCAGTTCGGCAACTTGACGAGAGTTAGCTAAGACTCTTCTATGCATGTTGCAAACGTACCTGAACTTGCTATGCAGTATGCCATGATGCTGCCAATGAACCACGCCCATACTGCTGTTGCTGGGCCACCTGAGCTCATTGGTGCACCAAAGGTAGCGGGTACTGAGCCCAGTACTCCTAGAATCGAGATGGCATATGAAACCGTAGACCATCTCGAGAAATGTCTTTGTAGAACCTGCGGAGACTGTTGGAAGATGGTCGAGTGAAAGACTTGGAGCGCTTACAGGAGTGTATCCAATGCGCACAAGTAGGCGGTCGTCGTCGTCTGCGATAGTTGCCATGATGCTTCGGTTCTGGTGATGCCCTGCTTCTGCTGCTTTCGATTGACTGGAGACGGTAGGTTGGAGCGCTCGTGGCTCACTCGGTCCCAATTCTTTGGAGTCTGGATTGAATCCCATGGTTAATACCGGTGATCAACGAACGAGCATGAGAAGTTGAAGAGAAACAAGAAGGGTCTCGGCGACGGAAGCGTAGAAGGAATTTAGAAGGGTGTAAAAGACGGTGGGCCGTCAGCGGAGACACACTAGGAGGATTGACAGCCACGGCGTGGATCCACAAACCCAGCTACCAGGGAGTCGATACTGGATGTGGAAAGGGTACGTGGTCGGGTGAATGATGTAGGGGCATGGGAGACATGTCCACGGGTAGTGGCTATATGAATGACCTGACTAAAGGAAAAGCCAACCGTGCGACCAACGGGTGCCCAAAACGGTCCAGTAGTATCAAGTTGCGAGATGCGACCTACATTCAGGGTAGTAATTTTACAGCGTTTGCCATGATGACACGTGCGGAGTGTGTTGCTAGAGGCGTGAACGTGGAAAAGAGCAAGTAAGGAGTGGGACGACAGGGTGCGAAAACGCAGCCAATCGCAAACAATCAGCCTCTTCTCGCAGACGGGCAGATCCTGGAGTCGCTGAAGCGATTGTGGGTTTACGGTACTGTCATTTGCGCACGAAGACTGGTGCCGAACGTTTGAAGGAAGTAGCGTGCTGGGGCCAAGAAGAGTGGTGCCGCTTCGGCGACCCAAGGTGGCGGGCCGTTTACTCTGCATTTCTGACTGGGGTATACTCAGCCCTGGGAACAATATGTAACCCACCTCATGAGACGCTTGTGACGCCTGTCGAAGCGGCATGGATGAGCTTCTTGATAGCTGACTGTCGATGTTTAGCCGATGTGTCGCGAGGCACGGTAGATTACTCAACGGCGTCAACGCGCTCAGCGAGGAGCCCTTACTCAATGTCCGGGCAGGAAACTGCCGCGGTCTAACACATTCTTTGGAGCTATGACGCACGCAGATGGAAGTGCGGCTTGCCTTGCGTGAGCTCACGAGCGGTACGACTCGGGTGTTACTACGGTCTACCTGTAACCGGTACCCCCTGACTGTTCGTAAGAAAACTTCGTCCAGGCGGTGAGGAGGAAGATCTCTATTGGTCCGCGCGGCTATTTTGATACGACGTACCTTCGCCGAGGGACAGATCTGACGAGCATGATATCAGGGAATTTTGTAAGCTTCTGGCTGGGCTCTCAAGGAACGCAGACTTCGGAGTCGCTCCATGAACCGCGGCGGGAGCTTTCATCCGAAACCTTGATCCCTGACTTTCGACTGAAACGTCGGCCATGATTTACTCGGGATTCGTATACTCGACAATATACTTTGAGAACGAGAGTCTCGTCGACAGCTTATCAGAAATCAGTCCCGCGTTGTGTCATCCTGCCTAGACGAGTAGCATAAGCGACACCCGTGGACATGCCTGCGCCGGCACACATGCAACAACCAATGCACATGTAACACGAACCTGACCAGATCGCCCACGCCGTACGGAGATTTGCTTTTCATTACCATTGCGCTGGGCCTCTTGCACCTCTCAAACTGTGCCTTAGTCGCGCGCCTTGGTGCGCGCCACATATCTTCGAGGACCCGATTTAAACAGCAGCACGGATCGTCTTTCTGCAACCAGCCACGGCGCAGCATGGATCAGGAGCGTCGCCTAAGTATGCACATGGCCAGGTGATCATGATGATGGTACCAAGGCCAGGATATGGAATACTCGCTAGACGTCTAGGAGTGTTGGCAAGATCCGAAAGAGCGGTGGAAGCTCGCGGCTATTCACCCATCGACTAATTCCAGGGTCTTCCTGTTCGACTAAGTCCGCCGGGCACGGAGTTGAGCACGAAGCAGAGCCGTTGGACAAATTACCAGAATCCCTGGTCTTTAACGTTTGTCAAGCGTTCACGGCTACGACGGAAGACGATGCGTCGTAAGATGAAGATCCTCCAAGGCTCTGCGATGAAATATACCGACCGATATCGCTTGCAGCTGCCTCATCGATCATCACAGACGACATGGGTACATCGTCATTCTGTTTCGGGCTGTCGGGCGTGTTAGCACTCGAAGGTTAGCTTGGACGGCGCAGATGTGAGTCGGGGAAGGAGCAGAACCGGCGTCTAAGGCCCACTGTGGGCATCATCGCATTGCTAGCTGCAGCGCAAGCCCTTGGACTACCGCCTGCTCTTCACATCACCTTGACCGCGATTCCAATCGCAATCGCATTAGCCATTGCCTTTTCAAAGCATCGCCGACACTAAGCAGCAAGGACGTCAGAAGTTCCTGCTTCACCTACGCCATGCGCCTTTTGTCCGGGCAATTGCTGACTCTTCTCGTTTCTTCAAGCGAACCTGACATCTCTGATCTTTTCCAGAAGGTACCTCTTCCTTTCGGCGGTTTCAAAATAGTGCCGAAGCCATGTGCGGACCCGTCCGTTAGGGCCGGCGATCAGCCTGGCACTTAGACTGGCGCAAGCCCACGCTGGGCTGCTTCCACCTCCAGACGGTGTACCATTTTCGATATAGTAGCTGAAGACATCCTTCTAGACTGACCGGAAAGTGGCGCTCTTCCCCATATCCTTCGAGAGTTACTAGCCACGTTCAACACCAAGATGCGACCTTCAGGTTTCGCTGACCTTGATGCGTTTTCGCAGATGCTACAGCACACAGCGCTGATCAAACCTCACCGATCGTACAGGGCGCTACCGCTTTCAGTCATCTACAACCGCTCTCGCTCACACCCTCGAATTCATAGTACGAGGTAAGGCCGACATCGACAACGCAGAACCAAAACGAAGCAGCCAATCCAAGGGCATCTTGTACTGGTGGCCAAGATAGGCTTTGCACCCGTCAGTACCGTGGTAAGCGTGATCGCACTCAGTCTGGTACACGCATCTGATAAAGATGCACAACCGAGGTGCCTGACAATCAGATGAAAGATGCAGACCCTTAGTGCGAATCAGGCTCGGACACGTAAGGGTGGCGGATATACGGCTGACGGGGAAGTGAGAACGCTTCCCCTCCACGCGCAAAAGCACCAGAGAAGGCCCGAGATGATTGTTCATCTGACCAGATTTCTGAGCCCACAATCAGGATAAAAGGAAGTGCCCTGCCTCCGCGGAGTGAACGGGACGGAATCAGGGAAGTTGTCGCCGTCAGGAAAAAGAAAGAGTTATTCGACGTCCGCGGCACAGATGTCGAAATGAGATATTTGCAACGAAATCCGAAGGTAGCCATAGAGACACCGCAGTAGGGACACAACGGATGTCGAAGACCTGCCTGGTACGCTCGTCAGCATTTTCGATGGCAGGCTATGGACTCAGAAGGGCTAGGAGAAGTACCTAACTCGCGGCCATCGAACGCAATAGTTACTCAGCAGCGGCGTGACTGCATTTTAACACCAGGATATTCATTACTGCAATACAGACGCTAATTTCATTGCACCCTTGGAATTCGACACATTCGATGCGATAATATGCGCTTTGCGACGCTGCATCTACCAGCGCATCAAGCAAGCACACGGCCATTGTAGGGACCGCAGTGCAACAGCCAAGGTCACGCATGCACACAATTCTGCAACGATCAGCTATCCCCTGCGATTGATAAAGCGTCTGCGCAAGTGTCCATAACATTAGGTCTTTTCGAACGAAGTGATGATTTCGCAAACAGCGTTACGACGAGAACCAACTACGCGGCACGACACGATGCAGAACGAACAGACACAAGTGTTTTCAATCATGATGCAGAGGTCTATTCATGACGACAGCTATATACGACTGCAAATATATACAAAGAAGCGTTTTGTTACCCGTCTCAGGGTACTGTACTTGAGGGTTCCCATTCCCGGGTTCCTATCTCAGAGTCCCCAGCCACTTTCATCCCGTCTAACAAGTAAACTTCTTGGGGCCAG